CTTAAACCCCTAGTCAACGATCCAAATAAGAGAAGAAGAAGAAAAAAAAATCTTCCTACCAAAACACAAAATTACAATTATACCCCTGACACGTTTGGTCAAACTCAATTATTCAGAAGAAAAATACATTATTATAAAGACAGCGCAAGTAAAAATCCACCTTGTATTTGTCCAGGTCAAAGATTCAAAACAATTAATTAATTAATTAATTGATTGATTAATTAATTAATTAATAAATAAGCTTCCCACAAAAAGAAAAACACTTATTTTTTCAAAGAAGGGAAAATGATAATTAAGTTAATTAAACACAAATTGTTAATTAGAGAGAGAGAGAATTAGAGCAAACCTAGTTTAGTTCAACCGTGTTGAATTTGATTTCATTCCATTGCTCCAGACTGAATCGTTTCTGTTTTCGGGCTTTGATTTTGACTCTTCTTCGCTTCTCCCCTTTTCCCCTCGTCCTTCGTGTTCTTCCTTTCCTTCTTCCCTTCTCCGTCAAGGAGAGGAGAGAGAAAGAAAGGGCTGCTGCTTTCTCTTCGCCGGCCTTTAGAGAGAGAGAGAGTTGATTGATTGATTGATTGATTGATTGCTTCAGAATTTCAGATTGGATTAAACAAGTATTATACGATTAAAGTCAAACAGCTTCCTTCTATTGTTTAATCTTTGTTTGATTTCCTCTTTTCTCTGAAATCTCCGCTAGTTTTGACGCGGAACCCATCTTTTTCTTCGTGTCTATTTAACTGGGTTTCCTTCTGATTGGGGTTTGAGAGCTTTTAGAAGCGAAGGGGAATCTAGTTATTATGAGTTCGAACACCGCGTCTAGCTCTGGAGGTCCGGAATCGAACGATTCATCGTCTAATAGAAGGAATTCGAAGCGGCCGAAATGTGAGTTTTCATCGATTTGTTATTTCAATTTGTGAGTTTCTTTTTTTGGCGGTATGGAACTTGCTTTTTCTTCTTACTTTTCTTTTACGTTTTGATCTTCTTCGATTGAACTTTTGATGTTTATGCTAACATTTTAAAGCAGCGATTAGGGTTTTGAATTTGGTTTTCCTCCTCCGAGGGAATTCACTGGTTTTAGAGGTTTAGGGTTCTTCCTATACAAGAGTTGATTGGTGTGATTATTGAGGGTTATAAACATTTATACCTGAGTGTTTTAAATTAGACTCTCTCATGTTCTTTGTATGATCATGTAATGATAAAATGATGAACTGATGACTTTTCTGAAGATTAGGTTTATGCTTTGAAATTTCCTGTTTGGAAGTTAGGAATAAAGGCATGTTTATCATTCTATTAGCCTAAATTTTTCTTCACGTTCGGTTTAAATTTCTTCTATTTATATGGAATCTGAAGCGAAATTCTTATCCAGATTCGAGGTTTACCCAGCAGGAGCTTCCAGCGTGTAAACCCATTCTCACACCAAAATGGGTAGGCTCTGTTATTGTTCTTATTTTAATGGATATCTATTTTGATCTTCATTGTATTCAAAATTAAGGAACAAAGTGGAATCTCTCCTCGTGCAGGTGATTTCCGCGTTCATGTTAGTTAGCATTATCTTTGTTCCCATTGGAGTTGCTTCCTTGTTTGCTTCCAGAGATGTACGTTCAAACGAGAATACTTTTCTACTTCCTTCATCGATTTTACGTTCATGGCGTGTTTGTTCTTCAACTGATTTGAGGTGCTTTTCCTCTTCATTAGGTTGTTGAAATAATTGATCGTTATGAAACTGAGTGTATACCAGAAAGATTTAGAAACGACAAGGTCGGGTTCATACAGGGCCCTGTCAGTAAAAGCTGCAGCCGAAATATAACTGTAAGATTCTGGCAGCATAGCTATTTCCATACTTGATTCTTATATGGCAAATTTTCCAAGGCTTTAGAAGTTGCTTGGGTTTGTGGAAGTTATAGCAAATGAAAGAATTTCTTGGCTCGAGATGATCTTGTTATACGGATGCCTTTCAAAGTCTCTTTCGTAATATGTATTTTTGCATCTATTTTTGTGTAGGTGACGAAACGTATGAAGCAACCAATATATGTCTATTACCAGCTTGACAATTTCTATCAGAATCACCGCAGGTACATTGTTCTCTTTATTTTTATGTATGATTGGTGCTGGAAGCATTTGAGGTAGGTTTTTTCTTAAAAAAAATGCATATCCTGTGGTTAACTAGCTTCGAGTATTTACGTTTTTCTAGTATTCTGCATATAAGTACCTGGAATCTTCTTATATGTTTTTCTCGATCTTATGCTGTAAAAAATATTTTATTTGCTTGGAGGTGTTTCATTCTCAAACTTTTTTATGATGCTGTGTAAATCAGATACGTGCAGAGCCGTAGTGATAAGCAATTGAGAGATGCTGGCAGCGAGCGTGATGTAAGCTCTTGCAAGCCTGAAGACAATGCGAACGGGCAGCCAATCGTGCCCTGTGGTTTAATAGCTTGGAGTTTGTTTAATGATACTTATAACTTCACCCTTAACAACAAACAAGTTGCTGTGAACAAGCAGGGTATCTCATGGAAGAGTGACCGGGAACACAAATTCGGCAAGAATGTATTTCCCAAAAACTTTCAGAATGGTACTCTGAAAGGTGGAAAAAGCCTTAATGAATCGATACCAGTAAGTCAAAACTTGTTTTATCTCAACTCTTTATGTATGAGCTATGGCGCTTTGTTCTTGACATGTTCTCGACATTAGAACTCGGAAAACAACTGTTGCCATTATGAAAGAAACGCTGTTGATGTGTACCGGTTGCCTGACCTTATCTTTTGTATTATGTATAACAGTTGAGTCAACAGGAAGATCTTATTGTGTGGATGAGAACTGCTGCTCTTCCCACATTTAGAAAGTTGTATGGAAAGATCGAGGTCGATCTTGAGAAGAACGATTTAATAGTTGTGAATTTGGAGAACAATTACAACACATACAGTTTTAACGGCAAGAAAAAGCTTGTCCTTTCCACAACTAGCTGGCTTGGTGGGAAGAATGACTTTCTTGGCATTGCATATCTTACAGTTGGTGGGTTATGCTTCTTCTTGGCAATGGTTTTCACCGTCGTCTATCTTGTTAAGCCAAGGTAATTTACTTGAAACCCCACTTGAGCTGAACTCCATGAATGAATGGTTATCTTGTTCATAATTTCAAAACTTGGGATGCGTCTGGTTTGAGAACGGTTGGATGACCTGAAAAAATTGGATAAAACGTTTGTTCAATATTACGTGGCGTGCTCTAATTGCTCGTTTCATTAGTCGATTGATCATGGGAGGGGAAGACTGCATATGATGATGTTTTTCTGGTCTCCCAACAGCCTACTTCTGTGTTTAAATTGTGGATTTTTATATACGTTTTTTTTTTCCCACCTTTTGGACGAGAGTACGTTTTAACTAGTTGAACGGTAGCCATATACGCTATAAATTCTAATGTTATTTTGTAACGATTTCAGGCGACTCGGGGACCCAACATATCTATCATGGAATAGAAACCCGAGTGGGCACTAAAACCGGAGCTGCTAGAACACGGTTTGTTGTAATTTTATTTGTAATATTATTTTTATGTGAGCATATTAAGAAACAAAAAGAAAGGGCAGGGTGGTGTATGCAGACAGATTGTTGTATTGGAACTTTTATTTCCCTTTTCATATGAAAGTTGTGTGAGAGTATATGAGATGATAGTGTAACTTCAAATGAGTATATCTCATTATATTAAATAGCTTATGTCCCTTGTGATTAATGGTGGCTACCTTTATCCCTGCAATAAGATGGGGGAAGAAGGGAGTTGGAAAGTTTAGAGCACATATAGAAGTATGTTAGCACTTTTAGCCGGTACGGAACTTTTATAAGGGTGTAGAAATCTCTCTTTAGTAGACACATTTTAAATATGTGAGGTTGACAACAATACGTAATAGATCAAAGCGGATAATATCTACTAGTGGTGGGCTTGGGCTTGTTACAAATGGTATCAGAGCCAATCACTGAGTGATGTGCCAGTGAGGACGCTGGCCCCAAGAGGGGTGGATTGTGAGATCTCGCCTCGATTAGAGAGGGGAACAAAGTATTATTTATAAGGGTGAAAACCTCTCTTAGTAGATGCATTTTAAAATCGTGAAACGGACAACGATACGTAACAGGCTAAAGCGGATAATATTTTCTAGCGGTAGATTTGGGCTATTACAGGTAGAATTCGACTTGCCTTGAGTACTTGCAAGAACGTTCCACTTTGTATCATTGCTCCCGAACGTGAACAAGTCAGTAGAAGACCACCTTTCCTTGTGAGTTGCATTTCTAAATTCGCCGTTTAGACAAGCAGGCAATTAATAACAAAATAACAAAACATGATGACATTCTCAAGACCAAACTAGGATGGTTTACTGAACAATTTGATCTAATTCCATGCTAGAATGCTTCTTTCTCCTTCTCAATTGACGTGGGATCTTATAATTTACTTCCTTCGAGATCCAGCATCTTTATTGACACTCGTTCCTTCTCCAATCGATGTGGAACCTCTCAATCCACTCCTTCGGGGCCAACGTCCTTGCTGGCACACCACCTCGTGTGCACCTTCTTTGGGATTCAGCCTCCTCGTCCTTACTGACACTCGTTTCCTTCTCCAATCGATGTGCAACCTCCCAATCCATCCCCTTCGGGGTCCAGCGTCCTTGCTGACACACCGCCTCGTGTCCACCCCTTTCAGTACTCAGCCTCCTTACTCCTTGACTCTAATACTATTTGTAATAGTCAAAACTCACCGCTAACGGATATTGTTACACCTACTAACCCCAAATTCAACACAATTTCGACCCGAACTTTTAACGAACAGAGCAAAACCTATCGCTCGGACATTTACAGGTTTCTAGCTCATGAAAGACTTTAGCAGGCTGGAGAATTGAGCCCAGCACTTGTTGCGGGAAAACGAGATATATATATATATACATATTAAATCGGTTGGTTGTTTCGGTTCGGTTTTCGGTATAATCGAACCGAAAAAACCGAACCGTTACATTAGGTCCAGTTGCTATTCCCCCCTCATTTTTCCGAAAGAAAAATCCCCAGAAGCTCGTAACATTTGCTGCACTCTGCAAGTTCTCCCTCCCCATTCCGCCGCTATCCGATCAATCGGCCGCCGCAGCTCCACAGAAAATTGGATTCAGAAATACAGAATCTGTGGAACAAGCGAATTACAATTGTAGTCCTCTTTTGTCTCCACTTGCCCCCAACGAACGCTGTTTTCAGTCCTCCGCTTTAATAAGGTAGAAGTGAAGTGTCGTCACTCTTAAATTGATGTATCGAAGTTAGTTTTTGTAAACCTCATGTGGTTGTTTGAATCTGTTCGTCCGGTTGGATGTTCAATTTTGTCGGCCATTTTCTATAGTCAGTTGCCTGCCTAGTGTTTGATGAATTGCCTCACTGTTATGCCTTCTGCGTATGCTCGGATAAGTTCACAATCCGTGTCGAATGATTGTTTGATACAGTGCCTTATTTCATTATTATTATTGTTTTAATTCAGCATTTTTGGTATGCGTATTTCTAGCTTACGAGAGCAGTGGCTAGCTCTAGTGAAGTATATGTTTAGAACAACGATCCAAAGGGAAGTGATATTTGCGCTATCCATCCGAAGTAAATCTCTCGGCAACGTTAGTTGTGCAAATTAGTTGGGGAAGCGGTAGGTAGGCTTTGATGATGAATAAAGCCATTTTTTTACAACTTATTCCAAAACCTTGCCTCCTGACATCAACTAAAGGTGAAAATTAGAAAGTCACGTTGTTTATGATCTTCAGTACTTGTTGCGCTTATATTGGATAGCTTTACTTAATTGTTAATTCCTGCTTTTCCATATTTTGGTTGTTTTCGACTTTACAGTTGTAACGATGCTGTTTCGATTTTACAAGTTCTGGTCCATTATATATTCATATATGATTGATCTATTACTTATTATATATGATTGATCTATTAGTAATTCTGGTGAGTATGTAGTTGTAGAGCATAGCAAGTAAAAAAATATGAACAAGGACAAGATATTTAAGCTAGCCAAGGGCTTCAGAGGCAGGGCTAAGAATTGCATAAGGATTGCTCGAGAGCGGGTGGAGAAGGCTCTCCAGTATTCCTACAGGGACCGTCGCAATAAGAAGAGAGACATGCGCTCCCTTTGGATACAACGCATCAATGCTGGCACACGCCTTTATGGGGTATGTGCATTTCCCTTGAATATTGTTCTTCATTAGACTACTGCAGTTGTTTTTGTTATTTCAATGAGTAACTGTGCCTCTTAAGAATTACTCTTCGTTTTGAATTTCTCAATTTGCTTTCGTTCTTCCTTTCTCTTTCTTGTTTTTTTTTTTTTTATGAAAATAATGATAATATATTATAATGAAAAATAATTTAGAAAAAAAGATTTGGATGGGGATCAGGGATCTCTGAACCCACAAAAAAGTTATTAGAGAAATTTCCCATCTAGAATGTGAATACTTTTACATTCTAAACCTCTGATATTCTCACGTAATTTTTTTAAAGAGAAACAATTTCATTGATGAATGTAATTTACAAAACAAAAGGGTAAGGTTAAAGACCCCAACCCAAGGGACAATAGACTTCTCCAATTAGATAAAGAGAGTCAAGGCTATATAGATGAAAAAACTCGGACAATTTACACCAGGATATCATGTAGCTATCAAAATGACATAGTCGAAATAAGTATCAAAGACTTCAGCTTTTCCCTTGATATTAAAGTTTATAATTTCCATCTTTGATATTCCCACATCCCATAATTTTAGCTTCTGACTTGGCCCTTCAATACTTTCTAGAATTTATTTCTGTAGTTTATGCCAATTTAACCTTCCTGGAATGCTGCTTTCATTTCACGTGGTTCGTGAATTTTACCTCTTTTTGTTTGAACAGCCTGAGTTTAAGAGAAATGAAAACTGCTTTCTGTCAAATAATTACTTTATACTTGTGTTCTGCACGATCAAGCTGCTTCTAGCTACTTTAATAAACCCTACTTGGGGAACACGTTAACTATTCATATTGTTCTAAAATTTTTGTAGGTTTCTTACTTTCTACATCGATGTCAATTGCCTCTTATTTCCAATCAATTGTGAATTCTTTAACATGTTATTCATATTTATCTTATATATATTTGGACAATCTCCCATGTCTACTGACGTTTCTTTTGACTCCCTGCCTACCGTACCAGGTAAATTATGGAAATTTCATGCATGGGCTGATGAAGGAGAACATTCAACTGAATAGAAAAGTATTATCAGAGCTTTCAATGCACGAACCTTACAGTTTCAAGTCCCTGGTAGACATCTCTCGAAATGCATTTCCTGGAAACAAGAATGTAGTGTTTCCCCCAAAGAAGGATGGCATTTCCGTAGTTCTTTAATGGATCATTTAAGAGTCCCCTAGATCTCCAGTTATGTAGAAACTGACTCGGGATGTTTGTCTGGCTTATGATCATTGATAGTTATTGCCTGTTGTTGAGCGTTAATCTGTTCGTTTCTATTGTTGCATTAGTTATCCTAATGTTGCTAGACACTGAAAGGATTCTCTACTTGAAGTGATAAAAATTTTCCTGGATGCTTTGGTTTTAAATCCACAATCAAGGATGTTATTATGTTCTGAAGTTTCTGCAAACGTTCAGTCGAATTTTGTCAGGACATTGACGGAGATGCCTTGTCACTAATTTTTTAGGGCAGATTCATTTTATTGGAAATCTGAAAACTGTGTACAGCATATGTATAGTCCAAACAATTGAATAGTCAGCGAACCACAATTCAAACCACTCTTTCAGGAATTCAAACAACAGACATATTGGTTATTCACCATTCTATGAAGATTTAGGCTTGTGCTCTGGCTTATGAGTGAACTCATGATCCACATGAACAAAAGCTCGATCAACCTCATCAAGCTGTTCAAGTTTATCTTGGAGTGTCTCTCCAATGTCATGCGCTTGACTAAGAGACGTTTCCCCAGGCAACACTATGTCCACCTCCACAAAATAGTTGCATCCAAAGGTATATGCTCTCACTGTATCTATGTTTTTGATTTCCTCATGATGATTCCAGACTAGATATGTTAGCTTAGCCAAGTAGTCTGGCGGGGCAATCCTCCCTATTAGCGACCATACATTTTCCATTACTGTCTTTGACCAGTTGCTGATTGTGTACAATGCTATCTATATATTGAAAGTTATGTTAATGTAGATGTAACTGGTGTGTAAATATGTTTGATGACTAGAGAGACAGATATGAATGTTGTGTGTGGTGAACTTACTAGGATAGCCCCAAGGGGATCAAGCCACCAGTAGAATCTGATAGCCAAAAGGGCAGTCGCAAGTCCAATTGTATTTGTAATTACATCAAAGAAATGGTCCTGGGCATAGGCTCTTATAATTTCATTTTTGAATCTGCGACAGTATACTGTGAGGCATAGTTTCACTACTGTCACAGATGCCATTATTCCGACCATCCATCTTACTTTCTCTTGATCTCCATCTGGTTGAGCCTGCAATCAATTCGTAGACAAATGATGGTATGTTCTTTTGTATCAATTAATAACCAAGCCTGTTTACCTTGGAAATAAGTTCTCGAGCTGATTCAAGTAATATTTGTATTCCAAGAGTTGCCATGACGGATGCAAACACGACGATTCCCTGCATAAATCTGAAAGGTTAGTCCATGCTATTTTGCTTTCTCTGTGTGTTCTAACATGATTTGACTTTTATTCTGCTTGTGAACTTGTTTATTAATTGCATGACAACGTAAAAGAGTTTTTAGCATTAGTCTTGAAAAATATAAGGTTTGTTATTTCTCCATTTAGACCATCCTTCATTTTCTTAGATTAGCATTCCCATTCTTCATTCAACAGAGACTTAAATAGCCAAGTTTTGTTGATAGAGATAACTTGCCACTGGTTGCATTCGATTCTTTCCTATAGGATAATGATACTGATTTGGCTTTCTCATAGCATTAGCTGTAAACCATAATATAAACCCTGATAAAAGATCCAACAGGGAATCTAGTGTTGAAGCTATAACTGCAAGTGATCTGCTCTCAACTGAAGCATATACTTTCGCGACGAAGATCACCATGTTAGCTATGTTGGATGCATATATTGCCAGTCTCTCACGGTACGCCTCTTGCTTCTCTTCATCCTGATATATAAGAAACTAGGTGAATGTGTCTGATAAGAAGTTGTGACTGTTAGAGAGTGAAATACAAGACAGACCTCAGTTAAAGGTCCAGGTACAATACCCAGTTCATTGTAGGAGTCAACCTCATTGAATCCTTTTAGAAGACTTTTCTGCCTTTCATAGTACGTAGCAACCTTTCTCTGTCTCTCTAGCAGCAAGATAAAAACGCTCATTAGTTTCACCTCCTAAACTCAAGGTTCTCAACAGTAGAAGAACTATTTATTCAAGAACTAGAAATTGATAATAAAGCTTACTCCATGACTTCCAGTAATAAACAATGCCATGATGAGATCTCTTGTTTGTAGCAGGCAAGCAGAACTCGTCCATGTTCAGTCGCCACGAGGGAATCTTCGTCACCATTCCATCTGTTCCAGCAGCCACACCCTCCGGCGACAAAAGCTCTGTTCTGAAAGAATCCGTTCTGGGATTATCCGTCATTTTTGTTCTTAACCCGACTAAGAATCTGGTTAAAAGGAAGAAGTCCTCTGTTACTTGAAACTAGAGAGACCATTATAAAGGGGAAGACAATAGTGCAGTGTTGCTGAGGAAGTTGGAGACGTTGAATATAATAGGGGAAAGTGGATTCAGTAAACAAGGGCATGGAAAGGGCCGGAAGGGGTGATTTGAAGGTTTTGCATTAAATAATTGAAATACATGGGGTTTTGGGAATTGCTTTGTAGGATTTCACGTGCTTTCTTGCAAGCATAACAGAATCATCGATGCTTTTTTTCAACTTCGGCATATAATGATTGTTTTCAAATCTTTGTGAAGGTTTCTTTGGTGTTTAATGTATGGAAGGAAGACTGGTACAAAGCTTCAACGTCCAATCTTTTTTTGTTAACGGTGGTGAAACCACAAGGGTTTGCCGGTTCTTTGTACATAAATCTTTGTGATGGTTTTGCGCAGCGTCAGTAGTTCTCCCGCTTCCAGGATCAATTCTCCCATTTGTCGCTCATAAAAAGAACTAGCAGATCATTACCCTGATGATTTAATAAATGGTTTTGAGATTAACAACCGCATCCTTTGTGTAGTGCATACGGCTCCACAATTGAATTCGTTTTACCTTCCATTGAAGGAATAGAAAATAGAGGATCTATTAGACCTATCCAATAACTACCTTTTTTTTTAGTAATTTAAAAATAAATACTATGGTGGGTCCGTTGCTTTATTATTTCGATTGTTATTCAGCAATCCCAAAGTTTATTTTGTAGTCTTTCATAATAGAAATATTGTTAAGAGTCTTCAAAAACAAAAAAGTTTGTGACGCTGAAAGAGGCCTCGATAAATCAGCTAAAATCGACTTTCGGGTCGGTCATTTTCGACATTCAATCTTTTTTCGGCATAAATTCAATGCTATCTAAGATTTCTCGTTATCTATTCTATTTCTTTTCAAAGTAAACAAATAAATATTTTTCTTAAGTTTTACTTCCTTGAAGGTACTAAGTATTCCTACATTTTAAAAAACTGTACAAAATCTGAACACATTAGTTCGAATAAGGCTCATTCAAAGTCAATTAAATTTAAGCACATACATCTATTTTTATAATACAAAGAAGCATATCCCACTTTAAAAAAGGAATAATACGATAGTTCATAGTATAAATATACTTGGGAAATTTCATGGAAACTCCTTCCAAGAAACTTTATAAGAATTCATGGAAATTAAACTGGGGAGCAGTTGAGGGAAAACAGAAATTGAAAACTCAACAGTGCTGCTACCACTGGGAGACACACTTTGATCCTGATTTGTGCTGTTAAATCTTCTTATGATTTAATCAAACAGTGGGAACAAAATAGTCGTTCAAATACAATGAAAGTTGAAATACAGGATAAATAGTGGAAATGTTCTTCCATAGTTACCTGCATCGAATCTGCCGGGTTCCAGATATGCTTAACTGGAAGAATGAACTCTTACATGTCAAATATTCCTTTATTTCATGCTCGAATAACTAATTTCCTACATAAACAACTACTGAATGAATCCATTCCAAGAAAAAATAGACGCCTATCTCACTTCAATCAAAAACTGCTGGGGGCTTTGTCGATGACAAGTCTCGTCAATCATTTAGTTCAAGGCTGAAACCAATGCCATGTGCTCAATAAGATCCAGTACTCGGTTGCTGAAAAGACGAACATCGGTTATTCATGACCATCCCCAGAATTATGTAAGTAAAGAGCATCATAGGTCATCACGATGTGAAGATGTGTGAAATAGAGGGAGAGAATACCTGTATCCCCATTCATTGTCGTACCAAGTCACCAGCTTGACAAATGAGGTGCTGAGACCTATTCCAGCCTTTGCATCAAATATACTAGACCTGCAACAATTAAATCATGTGATTCAGACTCCCAATTGAAAAATACTAACCATATTTGATATGTTACTTGCTCTACTTTCCCCACATGATTTGAGTCAGAATATGCTGAAAAAAGTCGTACCTCGAGTCACCGAGAAAATCAGTAGAGACAACATCCTCATCGGTATATCCAAGAATGCCTTGCAATGGACCTTCGGATGCATACCTTTAAAAGAGTTGAAAGAGTTGCGAACTCGTCATCAATCATATTAAATACTTTAGCTGTACAGGGAAAAACTTAACGAAAGGCACACTGGTTGGGTGCAAGTCATACTTTACTGCTGCCTTTACATCTTCATATGTAGCACTCTTTTCAAGTCGGCAGGTTAAGTCCACAACAGATACATTGGGTGTTGGGACACGGAAAGCCATTCCAGTAAGTTTTCCGTTTAGCTCTGGAAGAACTTTACCAACAGCCTGCAGTTATTTTTTTAAAAAAATTCCATAACCTTTTCAATTGATTAAAATAAAACCATAAAGATTTATCAAATTTTTATGCCACATACCTTGGCAGCACCAGTAGAGCTAGGAATTATATTTTGTGCAGCACCACGGCCTCCTCTCCAATCCTTCATTGAAGGGCCATCAACAGTCTTTTGTGTTGCTGAAATAAAATGAAAGAACACAATTTACACACATGAGTAAAGAGTTTGAGAGAGTGAGAGAATGAAAGACCTGTCGTTGCATGCACTGTTGTCATTAGACCTTCAACAATACCAAATTCCTCATGAACGACCTACATGAGATAGCACACAATTCAAATCAGGTACACGGGAACTATATCCCTGTATTAAGATGGTGAGAAAATCAGATATATGTCTACTCTAAACTCCAGTATAAAAAAATTCAAGAAACACTCCAAAACACTCAAAAATATACCTTTGCAAGAGGTGCAAGACAATTGGTAGTACAACTTGCGTTGGAAACAATATTCATTGTCGGCTTGTAAGTTTTTTCATTAACACCAACAACAAACATAGGTGCATCAGCTGATGGAGCTGAGATTACAACTTTCTTAGCACCACCCTGCAGGGAAAAGTTATACATTGT